AGAACCTGGGCAAGAACAAAAGAAAAACCGTGAAAGAGAGGCGATTGAAGAGAGAAAGGGAGAAATTACAGCGACCCTGTAAGAGTACGTACGTACGTTTGCCGTACGTTGAACCGAGGCAACCGAGGCAACCTGAATAAAAAGGCTGGTTCACCGGCTGTGCTTCTCCTCCTTCCGTTCATTCCTCGCTATAATCTTTCCTCCGTTCTTCGTCTTCTTCTTTTATTCTTTTTCACTCGTTCCACCGGAACAACCTGTTTCACAGGCTCCGTTGGAAAAATCGTCCCAATGCAGGGTACCGGGTGCAACGTGTAGTACCGTATTGCTCCCTTCTCTCCTCACCTTTTCTTCAGCCGCGAATCCTTCCCTTTCCCATTCCAAACTGCCCTCTCTCCTCTCTCGTTCTTACTCCAACTAGGCTGTGACAGTGTCGTCGATGCAATAATCAGAAGATTTGCAATTCCCCCGCGTCCGTCGCGACGGACGCGAAACGGATTTTTACGACGGCTCGCTTGAAAACTGATGGAGCAGCGCCGCAGCTCGTGAATGGAGCCAGCTGCGGAGCCGGTTCGACGCTCAAGCCCCCTCCACGTTCTTTCGTTTTGCTCGAACCGAAGTGGATAGAATTATGGTTTCCTCTCTTGTCGGTTTTTCCCTTTCTGTCTTTTTCTCTCTCCCTTTATTTTGCTCCCTGTTTTCTTCGCTTTTATTGTACCGGCTAATTCGTCTCTCTGCGGTGTCGAACGGCGGTCGTAAAGCGGACAGGAGTACAGGGGAACAGGTTGTTGTCACGAATTAGCGTTTCATCCGTTTGAAAATTGATTAGACGCGCGTCGTGATTGAGAGGTTTCGAGGATTCTGGGAACGGTTTGCGCTACTTTGGAAAAGTGATTCGGTTAAAGGAGACCGGAGGTAAATTGTTTGTTTCTTCACGAGGAGGAATTTTGTTAAATATGTTTTCTATCTCGCGAGACAAATTGCCGATGACTGTTTATTTACAGTTGAAGTCGGAATTTTCCTCTGAGAATACGAGGAAATGTTAACGCGGGTGTTGATTAACGACAAGGAGGAAGGAATTGATTTGTTCTCTCCGGTGCCACGAAATTAACTTTGCAATTCTATGTTCAAAATAAATATTCATCAAGACGAATTTCTCCGAGGAATAATAAAACGAATTAAATTACAAAATGAGACTGTAGAATACACGGATACGTAAGTTCCAAGTCACGCGGCGTTATGAAGGCTTTAACCCTTTGACTACGAAAGGCGTAAATACACGCTCTCTAGATTTTTCTTACTTTAACACCTTGTTTTATTTTTTTATTTTGGTCAACGAGCATAACGATGTGTGCGATGTGTATCGATGGTTCTGTGCGAGAGTGCGCCGCAATCAAAGGGTTAAAAAGAGCCTAAATGTCGATCAATTTAACCCTTTTGACTCCTTTGTCGAGTGTGACCCGACATCAGTTTTATTCAGAAGTTATTTTTAAGTATGTGTTTTATTTTGCAATATTTTCTTTTTCCTGAATGAGCAAAAGGTACACATATACACGACCCTTAATGCTATTTTCAATACAATTAGTAAAAAAAATTGTTTACGTTGGTTCCTGTCAACCAAATGTCTTTCGAAGTGCATTTCAAATAAAATTCTTAAAATAATAGGGAGTTGTTGAAAAGAAAATTAAAAAAGAAAAAGAATTTGGAGTTGAAAGGGTTAAACTTTTATCATCGTTGGTAAGATCTTTAAAGCACTTCAACTCCGATTTGTCGGTGTCGCGTTACTCTTTCAGCCGCGGGAAAATTAGTGTTATTTCGGTATGTGTGTGTATGTGTGTGGGAGGGCGAGGGAAGTGGCAGACCGTACAATTTATGATAGCGCGGTGCTCGTAGTCGTGATTTCCCCAGGAAATCCTTCGATCCGGGATAATTCCGCGTTGAGAATCCTTCCCCGGCAATTCACCGCCCTTTTGCCCCCTTTATCTATCATCCACCACGAAGACGTATCACTGTAATTTGGCACCCGCGTTTGCGCTCCCTTTCGTTTCATCGTTGCATTAGCACCGCTGCTGCTCTTTTCGTCGTTAAACGGAGGAACATGATGGAAACGTATCGCATTCCTTGTGCGTGTAACGAACGATTTTCAGTTACCTCCGTTCCCATAAATGTTTCTCGTTGAATCGCAGGAAGTATTAAAAGCACACTATCCGCGTGTCACGCGAGCGAATTAAGAGTAATTTCGAGCATAATGTAAGACATTGTACGCGGAGAGATTGCAACGTGGATAAGGTGCTTTTAATTAATGGATTCGAATAATTTGAGATTGTAAGAGGGCTGACGAACACGAGAGCCTAAGATAGTAAGTGTAGTCTAGGTACATATTGCGATCGTGAATCGACCGAATAAAACTGATACTTTGTGTTCTTTATACTTGGATACGCTAGAGACTGTTGCACCTGAATATTACACCTGATACTATTAGCGATACCTAACGTAACGCTTGGAAAGCTATGAAAGTTTGTAACTTTTACGACCGTAATCTAACGCTGTATCTTGCACAGAATGTAAGTGAAGCAGGAGTGTAATCATTTTTCATTGTAGTACGAGAAACGAGAGTTCTAATTTATCCGGAGTTTTTACTTCAGCCAGGTGTGGCTAGGTACAAATTTACTTGCAAAATGAGTGAATATTTTTACCTGGAAAATTAATAAGAAGGTGGTAATTTAAAAAAAAAAGTAGATAATTAAAATAGATACACAATAGATTTCGATACCTCAGTTTTAAGGGGTGTTTTCACCTCTTCGTCGTGAATGATGGTCGGTGAAAGAAAAACGTGTCGAATATTTTCCCAAGAACTACGTCATATGTGAGTTTCATGAAAATCTGTGAGCCTAGCTAACTCTTCAGTTCTTCCATTCCAAACAAATAGATAGAAACTAAGTGCGAAAGATTTCAATGTGCAGATCTTTATATTTATTTCGAAATCAGGAACGTTACGTTTCCATAGAAAACTTCTCGTCAAGTGGATCATGAAAATTCATCGAATTCACTTTGAAATCAGAATCTCTTCATTCTCCGAACTCTCGTGAAAACTTTGCAAGCTGCAATAATACCATTTGTCATCCGCAAACGTTACCATATTTCCACCGACCCCCGTTGGGGAATTCTCGTTCCTCCTTTATACAATCAGAAACGGAATTACCGTCAGTGGCCGGTCGGAATTCTAATTCCCCAGTCGTGGACGAAACAATTTTTCCGCGGGAATTGACGATAATTGAACTAGGCCAGCCGACGGTTACGCGTTCTGGTCCACGAGGAAACTGCTGCAAGCTCGGCGTTTCCGTTCACCAGCGTGTACACGATCGGTCAGCGACGGCAGAGGAGCTTTCTAACGCAACGCTGCTCGCGAAACTTGTTTCGCGCATGTATGGTCGAATTGGTTTCTGATGCACAGAGAAATATAGGGAGAGAGGGAATTTCCAGTGATCCACTGGTTCTGAATGGCGTTAAGTACGGGGATTTCGATTTCCGTGTGTGTGGCGTGTTAGAAACGGCGAATCGAATTGTGCCAGTGATACCGAAGGGATTCTCTGTTGTTTTTGGTACTGTGCCCTGTGTTTCACGCTCGAGGAAGTTAATAGTTCACGGTTTTCGGAGGCTTGGCAGATTTCGAGAGGATTTTTGTTCGCTGGAGAATCTCCCCGGAGATTTTTTTCACGTTCTTTTGCTGCTTGTGTTGGGATAAATGAGCGGTGTTTTTAGGTAAGGGAAGATTTTCTGCATTGTTTATTGTATACAGGGTGGGACGATGAAGGTACCATATTGAATGGCTCTGAAAGTATGTCAGCTGTGGAAGGTAAATTTTTTTGGTTTTCTGCACCCTTTACCATGTATAGGATGGGACAAGAAAAGTATATACCGCATTGGTCGTCTCTGAAAGTGTCTAATTTGTAGAAGGAAAAATTGTGGTGCAGTTCAAATTGTTTACTGTGCTCTGATAAATTTTCTCTTGTGATTCTTTAGTACCTAACCTTAACTGATCATGACTATCACAAATTTTTGTGCTTCCTTTAAGAAAAAAGAATATACAAATGACTCTCGTATCATATAACAAGTGTTTTCCATGAAAAAAAGAAAATTGTGACAAAAATTGCAACAGGAAACCTCTTCAATCCGACGATATCATTGACAATTCTCCTCACAAGTATCGAACTCTGAAAACTACTTTCTCCGCTGGTTACCATTTCCACGGTGTTTTCCCATTTTCCCATTTTGCCAAACGTCGAAGCGCGTCGATTTGCAGCGGTGCTCGTGAAAACGGCGAGCGTCATAGGGCAAGCAAAAACGTGAAAAGGAGAGAGGCATAAGCCAGAAAAAGAACGACGAATGGAGGGGAAAAAAAAAAGAAAAAAAGGAGGAGGAGGCGAAAAGGAAGAGAAAAAATTGTATTCCGAATAGTCAACACAAAGGCCATTGTCCCGCGGGTATGTGTCACAGGCAGGAGATCCCGACGAGTCGGAGTGAAATTAGTCGCGAGCAATTAACGTCCGCTCGTAGCACAGATATAAATCCGGCGCGTGTTGTGCTCGCTCGCTCACTCGCTCGCTCGTTCGTTCTGCTTGCTTTCGTGTGCCGGCGCCACCCTGTTGTACACGTAGCGGGGGCCTTGCACTCGGTCAGATACGCATCAAAGCGAAGTAATGCAGTTGCCAGTCGAACGCACGCACAATGCCAGCTAATGATTCAGCTCTTGATGAACCTGCCGACGATGACGCGTGCCTATAGACACGGATTGTCCGATCGTTTTCCAGCCAGCCCAGGCCAGTCTAATCCCCCAGAGGGTTGTTACTCGTTTAATTCGACGATAGATGTTCGCTTGGATTACCGTGGTTTCGTTTCGCGGCAATGCTGGTACCTGTCCCTCTCGCTCCCTCTCTACTCCAACTTCTTTCTTTTTCCGTCTCTCCCCGTCTCTCCTTTCGATCCTTCTCTCTCTTCCTCCTTTTGTCTCTCCCTTTTCCTTTTTCTCTCTTTCTCTGGTTTTCCCTCTCTCTGTCCTTCTCTCCCTTTCTCCTTTCAATCCTTCTCTCTGTTCCTCCTTTTGTCTCTCCCTCTCTCCTTTTGTCTCTCCTCCTCTCTGTTCTTCTCTCCCTTTCTCCGTTCAATCTTTCTCTCTGTTCCTCCTTTTGTCTCTCCCTTTTCCTTTTTCTCTCTTTCTCTGGTTTTCCCTCTCTCTGTCCTTTTCTCCCTTTCTCCTTTCAATCCTTCTCTCTGTTCCTCCTTTTGTCTCTCCCTCTCTCATTTTGTCTCTCCTCCTCTCTGTTCTTCTCTCCCTTTCTCCGTTCAATCTTTCTCTCTGTTCCTCCCTTTTCTCTCTCTTCTCCGTCTCTCTATTTTCCTCTCCGTCTCGTCTGGCTTTCGCTCTCGGCGTGTGTCTGTTTACGGGGGCAAAATGAAGGGTGAAATGAACGGAGATCCGCATGCAGATTCGACGATACGCCGTTTGGCATATTTGGGTCGTCCGGTTGAAAACGGCGCTATAGAAGCTTTTGCAGCCGGGGCTCGCCTTTGTGCATACACGCGGACGTTACTTGGCTGGTGGACGCAGCTGGAACCGGACGTTCGACCGATGATCAGACCGCGTTCCCAGCACGGTTATCGCGCAAGTGGCCTTTAATTGGCCCGGCGGATATCGTTTCTGGAATTGTAACGACGGGCTGTTTAGTTTTTGCGGGAGATGCTTTCTGGTTGCTGTTAGCGTGATTTTAAGGCACCGAAGGATGGAGCTATATTGTGGCTTTAGAGGTTGCGTTGTTGTATGGTGGTTTTTAAACGGCGGATCTTGATAGGGATGATTGGTTTTAGAATGTGGTGCGAATTCTTTTAGAATGGTTTTACTGGAAATTTCTAACACGTGAAGTTTAATTTAAAAAATACATGGATTAATTAAGTAAAACTTTGTTAATGAAAGTTGTTCTTGATTAAAGTGGTTCCTTTTGAAATTGTCCTCCGTAGCAGATTTTGCACTTCCTAAAATACTCTTTTTTTCGAATTTTTCTTTCGAATGAATTTTCTTCCAGAAGCAAGAAATGAGTGACAAAGCTAAAAATTCATGCTGTATTTCGTTCATTTTAAAGATCGCAGAGGTAAAGAAAATCGAATTAAAAAAGTCACTGTAAATCTCGAAAGAAATGACGTTTCGATAGAAACTTGACTTGAATAGTGTCCAGATAAGTCTCATTTTATTTATTTATTTATTTATTGCTATACTATTGCATTAATTATCGTAACCGTTTAATTTTTCTCACAATAATTATAAATTATTATTTCTCCTATCAAAATGTAAAATGGTAAACAACCGTAATTTTCTCCCTACGAGGTTCACATGGACGATACAAAATATTAGTTGCACCTAACAATATTCTCGTTACGTTCAAACGTAGATAAGTAAGTTGTAGCAATTTTTCCGCCACACCTCCGACAGTTCCGCCAGCCCAAGTCATAAATTAACGCCGATAACTGTTAACCGTCATCCTCGTACCGGAAAGTCACCACCCAGCCGACCAATGGCTCCACGCCTCTATAAGCGAACCGGTCAACAAGTTGTAAATCTTTTCACCACCATATCCAGCTCCCTCGCGCTGTACTAGACACGTTGCAGTTAAGATTCAATCGCTGAACATAAAAATTTCTATCCAATGAGTTCTACGATGCGATCAGCCGTTATTATGACATAATTCAATTAAACGAACGTCAAATTCAAATTGCTCACGCAAATTCAAACTATTCAAGTTCTTCGTCTAACTTATACACATTTTCTCAAGTAGTCTCTGTTTCCTTAATCTCCGACAAAGGTAGGATATTACTGTTCGTCGCGTTGCAGCTCGTTTCTAACGACACTTCACTGCACAATAATTCACAAAGTTAGTAAATTTGGCGGTTATATTGTCTGGAGGATTCGAAAATTTTAGTTCCAAGTGAAACCGTGTGGCAGCAAAGAAAGTAACGTCATTTTCCACGAAATTTTCTACCGAAATTAAAGAAAAAATTACTGTTACATTCTTCAAGGGTAACATAACAAAACTCTTCTGAAAAATTTTCGATGGAGTCAATTCTAGTCTCAAAAAAAAAAATATCAAAGTTAGGTATCATTTTCAGACCTCAAGGATGGTCTAACTCAGGCATGGTGAACCTTTCGGGGGCCAAATGATCATTCTGTCTCCGAGTCAAGGGCCGGACCAAATTATCAAATAAAATCAATTAATATTAAACGAATTAAAACAAATCAAATTTCATTTATTTGTAATATAATACTTTGGTATAAAGCTCTACATAAATTTTAGAATATAACGAACGACGTAACAGTTTAACGCGAAGATTGAAGACAAACTTGGCTGAAATAGATTAGGGCCGAGGGTTGCCCATATGTGGTCTAACTCCTTGAACTTATCTTTTAAAGAAACCCTCGTTCAACTTGCACGGTATCAAACAAGGATGGTTTAAAGAGGTTCGTTTGAATTATTCAAACTACCGCATGGTTGCATACAATCTCGTGACAGCATATCGATGTCAGGAAGATCAAACAGATCGTGATACGACAGCGGAAGAAGCTCGTAAGAAGTTCGTTTCAGAGCTCATGATACTAACGTTCCTCCAAGGAAGTTCGGCAAGAACACGGGGTTTATCGGATCTGGAGGGCAGAGAGAATCTCCTGTCGAGGTGTCGCGTTCGGTGTCGTTTTATCTGCGATAATTTAAATCCAAGTTCCGAAGGCGCGCCGGGTATCAGAGCGATGGGGAACGTTTAAGCATACGTATCAAAAGTTACGACGACAAACGAAAGAGAGAGAGAGAGGGGTAACGGAAGGTTGGAGAACACGAGTGCCGTGCAGAATCACGTAATTAAGTATTGATCAGGGCGGTGGCTTCTGCGGCAATCCCATCCCACCTGTTGCCAATTTCTACTTGCCTCGAACTGCCATGATTCGATAAAATAACCGTTAACCCTCTTTGATAATCGAAGCGACGCTTCTCTCTGGCGCGAGCGCCGCTGTGTGTGTGTGTTTTGGCCTGAAACTGTTCTTAACCCGGTTTCTCTCTGATGCACGCTGTAAAATGATTTTTAAATTTACACGCCGCCTGAAGTTTCGCGAGTCTCGTTGAATCGTCGTTAGATACTTTCGTTTTAATTTTATGTCTTCGGTATGGGGATTTAAGTAGTCTGACAAGGTGCTGGGTAATGGTAATTGTGCTCGTGATAATTTGGCGTGAATTGCAATTTTTTTTTGAAATAGAAAAATTGGTTTGTATTTTTAGTGAAATATTTCGCGGGAGATTCTTTTTAGGTTAGGTCTTTTTTTATGTAAATGTTCGTAATAAGTGGAAACTTAAATAGAACGCTTAGAGGCTTTTTCTCGTCGAGTAAAATTAGCTTTTGTGACGTAAAATGATATTTTTAAAAAATTTCGAAAAGTTGAATTTTTCGATACTTTTTTGCAGTAAACATTCGTAATAAATTGAAAGTTAAACAGTACTGCATTTGGATCAGTATTTTAGAGGTTTTTTTCTCGTTGAATAAAATCAGCTTTCGTGACGTAAAATGATATTTCGTAGATGAAATTTTTGTCAGATTTCGAAAAGTTGAATTTTTCGAAACATTCGTAATAAGTTGAAACTGAAACAGCACTCTACTCGGATGAATATTTCAGAGGCTTTTCTTCATTGCATAAAATTAACTTTTACGACATAAAATGAACATAAACTTTCGCGAACGTAAAATTTTATGCAATGAGAGGAGGGAAGCCTGTTAAATATTGATCCGAGTAAAGTACTATTTACGTTTGAATTTATTACAAATAAGTATTTCAAGGAATACACTTTTCTACATAGGCAAATGGAAGTAGGTAAAGAGAAAATGAGATTCACGGAAGAAAAATGAAAACTATCTGTGAAAATGACCAATTTATATGGTGATTAGGTGAAGGTCGTATATTTTCGAATATCATTACACCACGATTCGATCTGGAAATTTATGAGCAGTGGCTTCGCGAAGCTCGCAATCCTTCTTGAAATCTGATTTCGAATCTATATATTGCAATGGTCATCTAACGAACATAATTCCATACGGAACTACAATAAACAACCGTCTACAATTACCATTTAGCTCTGTTTGCCTATAAGTAATTGCTATTTAGCTGCATGTAGAGTTACGCCGGTCCCCTGATCGATATCATACACTTCAGCTTGGAATTTCAGCTGGATTAAACAATATCGCGGAAATAAACGAACGTGTCTAGATCGTTGAAAATATTTGTTAACCGATGGTAAATCTTTCGAAACCTTGAAAAGGAGGCCGGAAATAAAACGAAACTATTCATCGAGATCGCAAGAAATGTTTGAAATAACGATGGAAAAAAATGTTGAAAAATACAACTTGTCTTGTATTAACGATGAAATAATACTCGGTCGATAATGGAGGAAAGGGTTGAAGGAAAGTACCGATCGAAAATTTACGCGGCAATGCGATACATGTAGTTATAAATATCAGATCTCTCATAACACTCTTAGAAATTCTGTACCGTTGATATTGTTGGGAAACGTTGATGAAACAAATTGTATTTGGTCGATCGAAGGTTCTAATTCAAACCCTGAACATTAGATCAACATCGATCACGCGATATTACAGTGCGATCTCTGAAGCATCATCACGTAACACAACGTGGCCGCCATTATTGATGCAATATTGATGGCGTCGCCGGTGGAATAATATTTACGGCTAATAATGTGACAATGTCGTAAAACAATATGTAACGGAGTGCAAATTGTGTTTCGCCGCGGCGAAAGTCTGCCGCGCAAAATTGAAGCTTTTCGAGAGGAGTTTGGGGTAGAAAGTGAGAGATGGTGATGAACTTGCGACGTCTTCGTCGATCACTATAGAATAAAGCTGTCACACTTGCTCTTATATGGAGAATGATAGTTAACGGATGAGCACAGAAAGCAGTTTTAATCAATTAAGAATAACAACGAAATTATTAAGTTTCACTTTTCTAAATTTGAAAAAGTGTTTGATACACTTGAGATTCAGCGATCTTTCGAATCAGCGTGATTTCTGAAATGAAGTGTAACAAGGAAGTTTGATTCATGTTTTGAGGATTTTCAATCTATCCAAAGTTAATTACATTTTTTGAGCTTTTTGGTATACGTGGCATTTGGAAATTAACCTTTAACCCTTTCAGCGCTAAGATTAGGATAAACCGTGCGCTGGACTGAACAATTTTTCACTTAGAAATGCGTACATTCATAG